CCCCCCACCAATCTCCTTATGTATTAAATACTGGGCGTCATTTCGACACCTGTTTTAGACTTTTCGGCCGCGTAGACAGGTTATCAACCCATTTGGGATGACTAAGTAGTTCCTATCGCCGACATCCTATGGTACTGGTGTAAAAATGTTGAATGATAACTCATAGTGGACAATACTCCTGTTACTGAGTTTATCCATTACTAAATGATGACCGCCAAATTTGTTTCCATTCAAGTAGGATTTGAAATGGGGCTGTTTTCGTGTCGCAAAGGGTAAATGTACTCATAGTCATGATAAATCAATTTAAAGTTGCCAAGTATTTGAGAGACTGCTTTAACACTTACAAAAATGTAGCAAGCTGGTAGATTTTAATATCCACCGCCTCCACTGAAGTGCCAACTTTTAAGTTTCAAGCATTCTGAATCGAGTTCCTATTGAAAGAAGAATTTAAATCTGTGAGATAGACTTTCGTGCTTTATTAATTATATTGGAAAGACATGTAGAAGGGTTGTTAGCATCAACGGTGTCGGGTTTTCTCAAAGATAATCTTTGGGATCATCGAAGTGGTCTCAATCACCAGTTTTATTAACAATTGGAAATCGAGGAAACTGAATACAAGAGCGATTATTGAGGTCAAAGATATCTATATAAGAATATATATATATATTCAGGTAGAGTTAAAATTAGCCATGTTACTAAAAAGCTGCCCTTGTTTCCAAAATATAGTTAAAGCCACTTCAGAATCTACTAGCAATTATGCACCAAGAAGTAGGAGGTAAGGTGAGATTGTGAACCTGTGGTAATTGGTATGCCATATAACACCGATTTCACAAAACCCACTATTACGTCCGTTCAAATGCCCACAATTGAAAATGACAGACCAATCAAACAAACTAACAAATGGTTATTTCATTAGGCTTAAACAAGGGTCCACAGGTGGAGCGGGGGGGGGGGGGGGGGGGGGGGGAGGGGGAAGGAGAANGGGGGGGGGGGGGGGGGGGGGGGGGGGGGGGGGGGAGGGGAAGGAGAAAGCAGAAGCCTCAATAAATAGGGAGACAGTTCCGGTAGCCATTGCTGTCGCCCTCGTCTTAATTATTTTCGGCTGCTTCATTAGAAGATGTGCGCTTCTGAGAGGAAGAAACTTGGCGTCGGTGCTTCTCCACGTAGTGACTCCATTTGTCGTGATTCAGTCGCTGGAAATCAGGTTCTCGCTTAGCGATCAATTCCAGATACTCCGCCAAATGCTTCAACTCTTGGTCCTCTGCAAAGTTCACATTCGCATCGCGATAGGAGTGAATCTGGATGGACAAAAGACATCTACTGAAATCCCTCCAGATGTGTATATTCAATTTTTTAAAATAGATAGAAAGAAAAGTAAGAGCTATTCTTAATCATTATAACCCAATCAAAATACGCCATCCTCAATTGTCTGTGTGATACCCAAAAATAACCTCCGTTGAACTCATCAGTTTTGCACTTTTTAAAGAGTCGCCAAAAGATCGATAATAATCAAATTAATAAACCTCCGATCACAGACGGAAACTCAATCAATTCAAAAATATGATTATGCGCAAATATATTTGTCTTTAACAAAAAATTCTTGGTGAGAAAACTAAATAAAGACCCGCATTTGCTAGCATAAGCAAAAATTTCACAACAAACTGATATCAGTCAAGTGGTTAAGACTAAAATTACAAAATTGAAAAGAAAATAGGCCATTAAGAAAAATTTCCACGAAGTAGTGAATTGATAATGAAAATGGGGTAGGATTAATTTCATCTCTATGAAAAAAACGGAAGAAGATGAAGTGCTGCGTTGAGGGCATCAACTCATTGCACTAGAAACACCACCTTCCAAGTGCCTGAGGTAAACACCTATGGAAGGAGTCTGTACTCAAAGCAGATGGAAGGTGGAGTGGGCGAACATTGCTACTTGACTACTCTCTGGCTCTCTCAGAGGTTGCATTAAACCTTGGTGATGTGACCTGGACATTTTTAAAAGGGGGAAATTGAGCAGCGTTTGGCGCCTGGATGTTAGCTTCAGCGAAAGTGCATTAAATACAATTGTCCATACCACTAGACAGCAAACTGTGTATCTTTTAGCACAAAGTTAGTTGCATCATGTCGGATAAGAAAGAATGAAATACAGCTAACTTTTGGTTGGCTATTTCAACCCTCCATCTAGGTCGAAGTCGATTAGGTAATGCCGTTGAAAGTGCTCGGTCAAATGGAAAGAGGATGAACTACTTGATGACCTGAGTAGACCATCAAAAAGAGAGAAGCTTTGATCCTCTTATGTCAATCAATATTCTCCTCAACAAAAGTACTTGAAGCACATAAACTTCAATGGCTAGAGAGATTTGGACAGGTGTGGAGGAAAACATGATTTCAGCAGTGTAAGAAAATATTTAGCTATGAAGACATGTTAGCTTCTTTACCACAAAATACATTCTTATCAAAGACCGAATGTCTATAAACGCCTTCATTTAGTGAAAAAATGAAACGAAAGAAAAGAACTCACTCGAAGTCCAGAACCGGGATTCATGGCGAAGTTACGACGAACATCGTCAAACATAATGGTATTTTGTGGTCCAAATTGAGGAAATTTTCGCCAGATTACAGCTAACGGTTTAACCTAAAGCAACCGCAATGAGGAAAATTAACTATTTTTTTTGTTTCATCTTACACTCTTAACGCCGTGTTCAGGAAGATTGACACTGATCATTGCACCAGAGTCAACAAGAAGACAGATTTTAAAAGGTCGCTCGGAATCATCAAGATCGGCTCCGAGATTGCGCACTTCACCTGAATTTTCACCATCTTCATCTTCATCATTATTAATCAAATGCCGCTGCCGAACTCGATTGAAAATCGTCTGAGAGATCAAGTTCATTTGACTAATTTTTGCTAAAATCCAGGTCATACTAGTAGCCGACCAAATTGCAATGTCATAATACTCATAAGCTCTAGTCAGAAACGGGATGAGGTAGGGTCGCATCAAATGCTGCACAGATTCAGCAGGAGTCAAATGATCTAACAAAAGGAATATCTCACAATACAGCTAAACAAACCGAAAATGGTATAATCAATATCAAGAACGAGTAGCCGCTTTCCAGGTCTGAAATCGGCTATTTTTACAAACTTGTATGTTTTACAACGTTTCTCTAGTTTATCTAAATTTTCAGGGCGGTTGAACACTTCCAAATCTTCTTCCGTGAGATCATAATCATCAAGTATGTCAGGAGGATCAACCGCGGTGATTTCAATGACTTTTTGCTGAAACAATGTAAGAATATTAAAATGCTCACTCTCTCTTCGTCAGTACTTCCCATCAGCATCCATTTTGTCGACGGTTTAAAAATAATGCATCCCAAAGGTAGTTCATCGGAAAGTGTTTGCCCTATTTAATTGAGAATAAGAGATTAGTATTTTGGTCACCTTTATCAACAACTACTCCAAGCAGCCTCTGGTTTTTAGGCGGAACATTAGTTAGTTCGTACAATTTCTCCTTTACATCTTTTAATAATGAAGACTTTGTGAAACCACTCAATTCATGTAATGTTTTTCCAAATTTCACTTTTATTATACAAATAGGTTCATCTGCCATGACGCGTTATAACAAAATAATCAGCTGTGTTCTGAAGTAATTTAATGTCAGCGGTCTCGTGTGGTAACGTTTTGTTCACTTAAAGTTTTCAAATTAATTAAATATATGATATCGAAATATATAAATTCGAACAGTGGGCACTGACGTAAAGCTAAATAATTTTTGCCCCAGATGCTCATTTTAACATTTCTTCAAATAAATTTCCTATTCTGAAACTACTTTTACGATAAATGCACGAAAGCATACATTTTGAGACCATTCTGTGATAATATAAGTAAAATTGAAGAGGCTACTTGTGCCACGATTTTATTGCAAATAAATGTAGCTTATTTTGATAAAATAATTTGAAATTATTTTGTGCCCACCTTTAATGATGTTAATTTAAGTTGGGCATTGGATTTATTTACTTTTTTACATCCTATCATATAGTTTGTGTTTCTTTAAAGTAATTATGATTTTCTGCAAAAATGACTCCTGAAGTGGTTTTAATCAGTTTTTTGTCAAGGAAACTGATTTTATTGAGTGGCATAACAATGATGATAGTGAAATTATGTACATTCGGAGTAGGTTTCAAGAAGAATCTTTCATCATGAAAGGTTATTTGAATAAAAAATCATTAAGTAGCTAGACTGAATACGTTAGAAATGGTTGAAGTTAACAGAATTTTGACGTTTAAATTCAAATGGTTAGAGAACACATTTGTAGTAAGGTATTTAATGGCATTCATTGCCAGATTTGAACAATTACAATGGTTAATTTTGACCAATTGATGGTTGTTGGAAATCAAGCATTCTAAACGCTTTAATATTAAATCGAGCCTGAGTTTTGTGTGCATATTTCTTAATGTCAACTTCTGGGTCTTTAATTCATTTATTTATACATAGAAGTTTATATATCCCCTCACCCCAGATGCAACTTCTAACACATATGCTGCTGTGCAAGATTTTATCTGCTAGTCACATTTCCATCGAATGTGCTTTTTTCGTATTATTCTTTCAAATAAAACTTAAATTTTTTAGAAGACAGCATTTCGATATGCATTCATTTATAAGCGTAATTCAAGTGATTCGGCCAACTATATAAATAACCAGACGATGTATAGGTATTAGACAAAGTGTACAGAAATTTATTTGCTAATTCATTAGAAAAAACATATTTATTTATATCAAATGGCAGGCGTCTTGATGGTTATCATTAGCCCTTTAGTTGACTTCAGGCTTCATATAGAGGGGAGGAACATCAAAGTGAAAAAGTCGAGAGGGGGGACAGAAGAGTGTTTCAAAGATGTAAGAGACAAACACAAAGGTAGAACAGAGGTGAGGCGAGTACTGTAAAAATAGTCGAATATGGCATAGAGTGGGGTGAAGGTAGTTTGAAGTGAAAAGTCAACTGCCAGTCAATAGACTTTTTTGCCGTATAAATATACGTTGCCCAGGGTGAACCACGTGGAGGTAAGTCTATCGCACAACCCGTAGAAAAAACATGGAATTTGGAAATCTGTTTGATTTCCCATCTTTTGTTTCTGTTAGGTCTATGCCCCCAGTTGACATTGTTCAGATAATTTTCCACCTCAAAATGGGAATTTTTTGTTCCTTAGTCATAATTATACAAGTAGGTTGATAATATACACCCTATTCAGCCAATTATTTTAAGAGTTTAAAAATGTCGCCTCACAAATATATTAGTAGCAACACTAAACATTTTACTTCATGTCTTGGAGTGGGTCTTTGAGACCTGGGTGTAGGCTTTAAACTATTTTCAATGGCNAGAAGTGTTGGACTATGATATACAGTGGGGTGATGGTAGTTAGAAGTCAGAAGTCAACTACCGGTTTATAGACTTTTTTGCCGTATGAGAAGTGATAAGTCAACTGCCGGTTAATAGACTTTTTTGCCGTATGAGTGGGTTGCCCAGGGTGCACCGCGTGGAGGTAAGTCTATCGCAACAACTGCCGGTTAATAGACTTTTTTGCCGTATGAGTATACGGTGCCCAGGGTGCACCACGTGGAGGTAAGTCTAAATATACATTGCCCAGGGTGCACCACGGAGGTAAGCCGAATGAGAATACGTTGCCCAGGGTGCACCACGTGGAGGTAAGGTGTGAGTGTACGTTGCCCAGGGTGCACCACGGACTCTTTTGCCGTGTATACGTTGCCCAGGGTGCACCAGTTTGTTTGCCGTATGAGTATACGTTGCCCAGGGTGCACCACGTGATAGACTTACTTGCCGTATGAGTACACGTTGCCCAGGGTGCACCACGTGGTGCCTTATGAGTATACGTTGCCCAGGGTGCACCACGTGGAGCCGTATGAGTAAACGTTGCCCAGGGTGCACCACGTGGAGCCGTATGAGTATACGTTGCCCAGGGTGCACCACGTGCCGTTTGAGTATACGTTGTCCAGGGTGCACCACCTGGAGGTAAGTCTATCGTGAGTATACGTTGCCCAGGGTGCACCACGTGGAGGTGTATGAGTATACATTGCCCAGGGTGCACCACGTGGAGGTAGGTGTGAGTATACGTTGCCCAGGGTGCACCACGTGGAGGTAAGTGTATCACACACCTCTCTTGTCAGGGATTAGTAGTTGTAAAAATCCGGTTGGAAATGGTAATGTTTCGTTTATTTATTGGGTACTTAATAAACCCCTTTAAATACAAATAAAATAGTCCAAACATATTGACAAAGCTGTTACAAAATCGATGCTCATTTATTTAAAAATATAAAATGTGCAGTAAATGATATGAATACAAACTGATGAAATATTGTTTTCTATCTACAAATCAAGGAGGGAGGGGGGGGGAGTGGGTTGAAGTAAATTCTGTCAAGAAGGCAGTTCAGAAATAGAACTTGCAAGTCTTCTTCGTTGAGCATTATTTGCAGCCGTTTTTTTCACAACTTCCTTTAAGAGGTCCCCGTCTGTTAATTGCAATTTCTCTTCGTAAATTTCCCTTTCCAGTTTCCTAACACAACGAGCACAAACTTCATCGAAAGCCTCCACCAAGACTTTTGCTGTGACTGAATCTAGCACAGACTTTTCGAAGGGTCGGTAGTTCATCCAGCTCGGTTCATCGGCTCGCATTTCGACTTCCAAATACTGGTCTAACCAACCCTTGCGCTGAATCGTCCACTGAGTTAGTCGGGGAAGTCTTTGCAAGTCCTTTATAACTGGAGCTGGAGGAGGTGGTGTCATTCGTTCCTCCTCTAAAAGAGTTAATTTAATTCCAAGATTCTCTTCTATGTTCATTCGAACAATACGCTCGAGCGATGCCAGAGTCGTCGGTCTACAGAATGGAGGAAAAAAAATCATTTGTCAAATGAGTCATTTTCATCAGTTTTATTATTTATTTCTTGATGAAATAAATTGGCAACTATTAATTAATAGAAAAGCGTTTTCGCAAATAATTGAATTTGCATGATTGACGCCTATCTAAAGCGCTTTATTACATTTCAATATGCGAAGAAGCCTCAGAATCCCACTCGTTAAAACAAACGTTTCAATCAAGGCAAGTTATAATTTTGTTTACAGTAAAGTAAGTCTCTGTGCAGGATTTTTTTAATTTTGCACTAATATCTATTGACTTGCCATTAAGCCACCAAGATCCTTTTAAATTTCCATCTAGGTAACCCATAAAATTAACCAGATATACTACCATTAAAAAAGCTCATTAAATACGATTCAACTCGATAATAACAGTGGGTTCAATGACGTGAGTTAGATTAGCAGGTTCGTGGCTTGCCTAAAGTACATTTTGGCATATTTTCAAATGTTGAGAAAATTTTACTTAAAACGTCCCTACGTTGCTTAGTAAGCTCTAATAGCGAATTGAGTAATGCGCATTTATAATGGCGTCTAGAACTCAGAGAATACGGAATACGTCAATATAATGAACAAAAATGACCTTCATATTTGCCGACGAATAAGCGGCCCTATTTACAGAATGACCGATGTCAAGTGGGTTATCGATGTTTGATGATGTGGGGTACGCAATAGACTTACCTCCACGTGGTGCACCCTGGGCAACGTATACTTATACGGCAAAAAGGTCTATTGATCGGCAGTTGACTAGTGACTTCAAACTACTATGGCCCAACGATTTGTCATATTTGACCCCTTCACAGTACTCATCTTACCTTTTTTATGCCTTTGTGTCTGCCTGTCTGTCTCTTTTACATCTGTGAATCACTCTTCTGTTCCCCCTCTCGACTTTTTGTCACTTTGATGTTCCTTCTCCTCTCTGTGAAGCCCCGAAGTCAGCTAAATGACTAATGATAGCTATCAAAACACCTGCCATTTGATATAAATAAATAAATGTTTGGTGATGCTAATGGAGGTTAGTATTGAACAAAAGAAGAAGAGGAATTAAGAAGTATTTACTTAGAAGTGTAACAATAGTTGTTATTCTATTTTTGAAAACGAGGCTTAAAATCAATTGTTNTAGAAAAAACATATTTATTTATATCAAATGGCAGGCGTCTTGATGGTTATCATTAGCCCTTTAGTTGACTTCAGGCTTCATATAGAGGGGAGGAACATCAAAGTGAAAAAGTCGAGAGGGGGGACAGAAGAGTGTTTCAAAGATGTAAGAGACAAACACAAAGGTAGAACAGAGGTGAGGCGAGTACTGTAAAAATAGTCGAATATGGCATAGAGTGGGGTGAAGGTAGTTTGAAGTGAAAAGTCAACTGCCAGTCAATAGACTTTTTTGCCGTATAAATATACGTTGCCCAGGGTGAACCACGTGGAGGTAAGTCTATCGCACAACCCGTAGAAAAAACATGGAATTTGGAAATCTGTTTGATTTCCCATCTTTTGTTTCTGTTAGGTCTATGCCCCCAGTTGACATTGTTCAGATAATTTTCCACCTCAAAATGGGAATTTTTTGTTCCTTAGTCATAATTATACAAGTAGGTTGATAATATACACCCTATTCAGCCAATTATTTTAAGAGTTTAAAAATGTCGCCTCACAAATATATTAGTAGCAACACTAAACATTTTACTTCATGTCTTGGAGTGGGTCTTTGAGACCTGGGTGTAGGCTTTAAACTATTTTCAATGGCATATTTTTTTCTTAAACTGAATAAGGTAACCCAAACGTGAACAAGTTGTGTAAGAAGTCGTTTTGAATTGTTTTCCACTAATGATCTATTAGTGCCTTAATGTAATTATACATTCCTTTTTTGTGGCTAATTATTTAGCCATTAAGGTGGTCTTTCTGGCTGTTTAAATCTTCGAACGATTATGGCGTCATAAGCTAAATATACCAACGTAAAATGAAGATGCAGGTTAAATCAAGTTGTAAAACATACGCTCCAACATCACAATCGCCTTACGATTTCTTTAAGGCGGCTTTTCTCCAGGGGTGAAGGCTGTAAACATCCAAATTTACGCTGTCGCAAATGCATCTTTGACACTTTCTCAAGCATTCCTCCATTTTGCCTTCTTCCAACTTTTTCTCTTCTTCTTCCTCTTCTTGTTTTCTTCTAAGGCTCAATTCTTGCATTTGTTTCTCCAAATTCATTCTTAATTCCGCTCGCTTGGCTTCTTTGAGAGATTTACTTCGCTTCTCTAACTCGTCATCGCGCTGTTGAATTTTGGCCAACTCCTTAGCCGCCTCTTCAATCTCTTGAGCTCTTTGGATTGGACGATTCAGCACCTTCTCAAGATCTGCTTGTCTATTTGACTCGTTGTTACTTTTTTCCAATTTCCTCAAATAACATTTACGGGCATTTTCACGTTCACTTCGTTCGAGTCGAATTTTTTCCGCCGTCTCAAGAACCATCTTGTCTAGTACAAGTTCTCGGATATTTTGGTGATCACGTATTCGCTGTTGATATTCTAGGAATGATTTCGCCTGGTTTTTTAAGTCCTCCACATTTTTTCTATTTGATTCCGAAGATGGAATTGACATCCAATTTTGGCTAATTAATCTGCCAATTTCAACCTCTCTCTCCTTTTCTCTTTCTTTCTTTAACATCATTTCTTCTACCTGAGTTTTCAAGTTCTCATATAATTGTTGTTTACTTGCAAGTTCTTCTTGTTTCTGTGTCTCATTTTCAGTTTGCACAACCTCTTCCAAAGCCTTTTTCTCTTCAGCCTCCTCGATTTTAATCAGCTCGCGATCTCTCTCATTTTCGTAAATCTGTTTAAGAAGCTCATTCCGGTACTGACATCGATTGCCAGTCCGACTCTTTGTTCGATTTTCGTCATCTGCGAATAACTTTGCAGTCAAATTGTCACCTTGTTGAAGTAGCTGCAATTCACGCGTCTTCTCGTAGGCCTTTTGCTGCTTCTTGTACTCATTTATGGCCTCCTGGTCTTGCTTAGTTAGCGCGTTGAAAATGATTGGCTTGCAAAGACGGTAATCCTCATTACTTTTATTGAAATATTCAGTGCTTTCCCGTTTCGCTATCTCCATAGTCTTAGCTTGGATTAATTGTTGCATTTTATTGGCCAGGTCTATTACAGCTTCTTTACGCGCTACTTCTTTTACCCGAAGCAAATCCTGATAAGTTTTTTCGTAGCCCTCTTTTTCTCTTTCAAAGATGTCAGCCAATTTCTTCCTCCTCACTTCCAACTCTTCACCAAACTCCGATTTCACTCGCTGCAAATGCCTTAATGTAATTGCATTTATCAATTTTCCATATTTATGACTCTTACTCCCAGATGACATCGCGGTGTTTAAAGTGGGACTTTAGACAAGTGGAGTTTAGATTGAAATTTCAAATGAAAATCGATCACGTGCGCTTCTAGACAATTTGAAGAACAAAGCGCAAAGTCTGAGTGTCCTAGTGGATTCGTGGATTCCTTGTTAATCTGGATAATCCTCTATCATCTGGCTTTCACCACTCCCAGGAACCAATTTTTTTCAGTGTTCAGTGAGTACACACTCGGTGACAGATAATTTGATGTGACTTCTGCTGCGCAACGAAACATTTTTATTTTTACCTTTAAACTAAAATTGTTTCTAAGGCATTTTTGTGTAGATTCACCACTTGAAACTACATCATTCACTATCTAACACTTTCATTGAGTTAAAGTTACTCTAGATTTCGGATTCTGATGTGTGACTAGTAGAACAATTAGGGATGAACCTTAATTGTATAATTCAAGCATTTGGGTAATATTGCCGCCAAATAATTTTAAATAATAGAAAATTACTTACTGGCTCAGTATTATAGCTTGTTATTAACTAGAATTACAATTCGTCTCCTTTGAAAAAGGATGAAATGGCGTTCGACATAATCCACTTTATGACGTCATATAAGGGATTCTCGCCGGGGTTGTAGTGGATGTTACGCAAGCAATTAAACTCTTTGGATGTTAAACTAGCGGCAGACTCGTACAATTAGCCTCTAGTATAGTTCTGTTATACAAAGGCGTTCCCAAAAAATTAGCTAGACCCTGTCCACTTTTCAGAGAAAACAGAGGAAGTGCTGTGTTGGTAGTTTGTAGCAAGCAATGCACAGGCGGCCAATGCGCTTAGGCATTAAATGTCGTTAATTGCTTTCCAGTTTCCACGGATATCAGTCAATCATTGACTGATAGGCTATGGGATCAGCGGCATTTCCGCGACTCCAACATTCTGCTCGGGCACTTGAGATTGCTTCGATCAAAACTAGGATTCTTTCGCCAACCACTTAGTTCGTATAATAATTCGTAATTTTTTGCAAGGCACTTATTTTTCTCATTTTTTGTATAATTTCGGGTATAAAAGGCCAAGAGCCTAATAATTACATTCATATTCTTGGGAATATGGAAGGTAGTATGAAAGTGGACCATCGGTAAAAGCTTCGATTAATCTTTTCTTACCTTAAAAAAACTTGACCACTTTTGCATTCTACCAACAATATTGACTACCACTTTACTTTGAAAAAACTTATCTTAGAAAGAACAAAAGCGTTGTCATAATGACTATTATCAACCTAAATTAGAAATCAATAATATGAAAAATCTATAGAAGTAGAGTTCCAATTTCTCAGATCACCGATTTTCGAAACCTTTGGGGCGGATTGCTACCTTAGTAAAACCTAACTGACTCAGAAATCTCTATGGCAGATTCTCCAACATCTAGCTAGATTCCCAGAACTGGCTAAGCTATATCCCAGCTATAAAGGAAACAGACGTGTAGCAAGGAGCACGTTTATTCAGTACGGGTATTGCGGATAAAGTGTATACACGCAGGGAGCTACTCATGATCAGGATGGGGGATTAGGTTAAACAGAGGTTGATGAATGGTCACTATTTGTACGGTCACTTCACACAGAGTTGTACGGCCGCACCTCCCAATCCTGGCGAGCAGACATGCAGGCATACGATGACGCATAGAGCGATAATGTGTTCCACACCTACCTCTGTCTCTTATTCGAACACTAACACAAGGG